TGGGTGGGGTGGGGCCGGGGCTGGCTGACACCCCTCCCTCCCTCCCTCCCTCCCTTCCAGAGAGCTACATGACCACCCGCACGGTGCGCGAGACCTCCAACCTGCAGTCTCTCACCAGCACCCTCTACCTGCGGGTGCACAAGGAGGACCGGGAGGCCAGCTTCCACTGCTCCGCGTACTACAGCCTGCCCCGGGCCCAGCACGGCCACCTGGACAGCCCACCCTTCAGCCTCACCCTGCACTGTGAGTCCACCCTGGCCCAACCTGCCCGACCTTGGACTCCACACCTCACGGAGGCCGGACCCTCCAGCCAACCTTGGCCCACCCTCTGGCCCCCCCATCCCCCACCTTAGGCTGAAATACGACCTCCAGGAGTCACATGAGCTCCACCTGACCTCTGAGCCATCCCCCCCCCCATAGCTCTCTGAACCCCAGGGAGTTTAACGACTAAACTCTGTACTGCATCCCCCTATACCGAACGGGGCCCCCAAGTCTCCTCCTGACCTGCTCGCCCTGCCTTCCCCTCAGACCCCACGGAGCACGTGCAGTTCTGGGTGAGCCCGTCCACCACGGAGGGCTGGGTCCGCGAGGGCGACTCCATCCAGCTGATCTGCCAGGGGGACGGCAACCCCACGCCCGAGTACATGTTCTATCGCCTGCAGGTGACTGACCCCGTGGCTCCTTTGGACCCTGACCTCTGTGACACACTGACCCGCACCGATTTCTAACCTTTCACCGGGTGGCCCTGGCGTAGCCAGGAGCCTGGCCAGTGACCCAAGAGCTAACCCGACCTCTGCCCCCTGACTTGAGGGGCTCTGACCTAACATGACCCTCACCTGGAGACCCGACCTGTCAGGATGCCTGGCTCTGGCTTGGGGGGCCCCTGGCGTCGCAGGACCCCGCGGCACCGGGTGGCTCCTGAGCCAGTTCCTCATCCCTCGTCACCCAGAACACGGAGGAGAGAGTGCTGAGCACGAATCTTCACGGGAACTTTACCCTGGAGAGCGTGCAGCGGAACCAGAACGGGGTCTACGGCTGCCGGGTGTTAGACTATGACGCTGCTGATGAGGTTGAGCTCTCCAAGACGCTGGAGCTGCGCGTGGCCTGTGAGAGCCCTGGGAGAAACTGGGGGGGCGGGGGGGGGGGCTGGCACTGGCCGCCTCCTCCCCTTCACCCCCGAGTCCTCCCTCCAAACGCCTCCCTGCTTTGAGCCCAAACGCCTCCCTCCTCCTGGGGACCCTGCCCCAGTCCCCTCCAAACTCCCACACCGGCAGCCAGAGAGCCCTTTCCAACGCACACACCTGGCCTGCCCCTGCTCCAGAACCTCCCATGGCTCCCCAGTGCCCTCTGGGAAAGCCCAGGTGTCTCACCAGGTCTTCAAGGCCCACCTGCTTGGTTTTACCTGTGGCCGACCCTTCTCCCCACCAAGGCATTTTCCTCCTCATACCCAAGCGTCTCTCATGCCCATGATCACTCCTCATGCTCCTGCCACGCATTTCTGACCAGCCTCTTGGGTCCGTCTTCTAAGAAGCCTCCTCAGGCCCCTTGCCCCCCAGCCCTGTGCAAAGGCGCTGTTCCTCCTGGGCACTCCTTATGTCTCCCTTTCTGGAGCTAGACCCTGGGCCGGATGTTGGTCACACACCTGTGAACAAGTCCGCCCAGTCCCCACCTTCACAGATAGGCCCAATAGGGGAGACGGAGGGCAAATGCTAAATAAGACGTTTTGGGGTAGCAATCCTACATCTGCAGGGACTCATGCAGAATGATGGGGTAAGGAATTGGCTGGGCGAGCAAGGCATAGTTGGGGGGGGGTGTGTTGGCAGGCTGCATCCCCAGGAAGCAGGTTTTGCCGTGGAGATCTGAAGGCAGGAAGTTTATGAGGGAGCGCCTTGGCACCCACGTCTACGAGGGGTGGGGAGGGGAAGGAAGCAGGACTGGGCAGAGGGAAAAGTGGGGCTGAAGTCTAAGAAGGCCTTGGTTGGCCCCACCGGGCACTTGGAAGCGGGGATGTTCCAAGTTGGGGCGAAGGGGCCTGGCTTTTGTACCCTCGCATCAACCAGCCATTGACTCTCGGGCTGCCTGAGGAAGGGGCATGTCCAGAACCTCGGGGCTCCGCGCAGCTGAGGCAGTTCGCTGAGGCAGTTCCCGGAAAGGGCTGACAGCTGAGGGCTGACAGCTGACGTCCCTCTCAACAGCTGAAGGAGAGAGCTGAGTGGCCACACCAGGGGCTTCGAGCAGCCTCTCTGAGAAGGGGACGTTTGAGTAAGAAACCAGAGAGTGGGATCAGAAATGCCCAGAGGCCGAGGACCAGCACTCCAGGGAGAGGGAGCAGCGAGTGCAAAGGTCCTGAGGCCAGACCCAGCTTGGTGTGCTGGAGCAAAACAGGAAGAGAGCAGGGTAGCTGGCGCTCGGGGGGCTGGGGCGGGGGGCAAGAAAGGAGGGTGGGAAATGAGGTCAAAGACGAGGGCAGGGGCCACACCAGGCGGACCTTCTGGCTTTGTCAGGGAACTTGGCCTCTAGGTCAAGGGTCCAGGGGAACCACTGCGGGATTTTAAGCAGAGGGAAGGGCTGGCCAGTGTGTTTTGAAAAGATCCTTCTAGCTGCTCAGGGGACCAGAGTCCAGCCCAGCGGTGAGGCCAGTGAGGAGGCGACTGCAGTGGTCAAGGCAGTTGAACTGGGGTTCAGAGATGCACAGAAGTAGGAAGATCCGTTTCGGGGGGCAGAGCAGAGAAAGACTTGGTGAATGAATGGGCAGTGGGGAGGAGAAGGCAAGGGTTTGGGCTTGAGCACAGGGTTTGGGTGGAAAGTCAGAGAAGAAACACCTTGCAAGGTTGTCCGTTCGCCTTGGGCCCAAACATCCGCTCTGGGGGAAGGGGCCCGGGGTAGACTCCTAGATTTGGGCTCGGGGTTTGGCCTGATGGCGGAGTGGAGAGTTCACGGAGATGGGGGATCAACGAGGAGCGCTTGGCATTCCCTGCTGACTGTTGTGCATTCACGTCTGTACCCACAAAAGCCCTTGAGCGCCCCTAACCAACGTGGTGAGGGTCCCGGAAGGTGACCGTCTATACCCCCTCCAGACCTGGACCCCATTGAGCTCAACCAAGAGGAGGAGCTTTCCTTACCCCTGGACAGCAACGTAAACATAACCTGCTCCGTGCAAGGCCTGCCTACCCCTGCTCTACGCTGGACCAAGGTGAGAGGGAAAGGAGACCACAACTGTGGGACCCCCTCCCTCCCAACACCGCCTCCCCTTCTCTCATGGTCCACTGGCCTCCTCTCCCCTCCCCCACCCTACAGGACGCAGTCCGCCTGGTGGATGGCCCCACGCTCTCACTCAGCTCCCTCACCTTCAATTCTGCTGGCACCTACATATGCGAGGCCTATACGCCCACGGTCCCCCTCCTTAGTCGCACCCGGGTCCTCAAGCTGCTGGTTGAAGGTTTGGGGGTAGGGGCAGGCTGGGATGGGGGCGATGGGGGTGGGCGGCCAGGACCACTGGGAAGGGACCATGGCTGGTTCTCTGTCTTCTACTCTATTCCTCTCCCCTCTCTCCTTCTCTTACTCGCTCTCCTCTTTCTCCACTGTGCCTCCTGCTCACGCCCTTCCTCCCCGCCACCCACCGGGCCCCT